TATCGAGTTCCAACAAAATAAATAATTATTATCTTTATAAAAAATTATATTATTAAACCAAATATAAATTACTTCGTTATTGTACATAAATTAAATTATAAAAAAATTGGATTAACAAATTACACAAAAAATAAGGAATTTCAAATAGTTAATTTGATACTAATATCGATATATTTTTGTCAAATTTGTATTATATCGTCAAACATATATTTTATTTAAAAATAAAAACATCATCGCTTTCTCAAAATCACATAAAGTCATATTATAACATCGACTGAGATAAAGAATAAAAATGAAATATTAAAAACATGATGTATCTCGCTGCATTGCGCGAGTATGCTTCTAGTACAACATTAAGTATAGGTCGTAAATGAGATTTTGGTTTGTTGAGAAATAAAAGAACAGAAACATGTCTCACATAGATGAAACAACAAAAGATGACGTGAGATCAATGCCTATCAAAGTTTTATATTCCACCAGATTCCGTGAGTGCAAATATCATATCATATTTATGAGTTACCAAGTAACTGAATGACGAGAGCGTTCACAAGAATTACAATTACAATAACCTAATTTTTCATATTTTTCTACTATATCAATAAAATTAACCTTAATAAACCGTTAACCATAAATACCAAGTAACTAAAGGTCTCGACTGTTGTTCACTTTAGCCATGCATCACGGTTTTCTATGGAAGACCAAAATAACATTTTTTTATCAAATGAAATGTTGACTATTACTAAACCTAGTTTTTTTGTTTTGGTAAGCGTGGATTTCAGGATCAGCTTACTCATACCGACTAACCCCAAGCGACCACGAATGACTTGAAGTTATCGCAAGTGAACCTTCATGACAACAAAGTTTTTGGTCTAGGGTTTTGGTCTAGACTCTGTATACAATACTATATATATATATATGTGTGTGTATGTATATGTACATATAACATGGATGTAAGCATATGGCCCATGCTAATTATATATCAATTAGTGACGGTTAAGATGGTGATATGAATATTTTTCAACAATATAGAATTAATGGTCTTAAAAGAATTAATAGCAAACATGCATGCATATATACACGCACAAACACACATATCAGATGATGATGATGGAAGATGCAGTTGCTGACCATGTTGTTCTTCTTCTTCTTGATGATGATGAGATATATGAGTGGAGTAATCGGCTGAAACCTGGTGCTTGGTGGAAGAAGCCGGTGCCCAAGTACTCTTAACATGAGTTTCACACTCAAATCCACGTCCTTTACAACAACTTCGACACCTATAGTACAAACAATCCCTCTTTGCTTTATTCCCACACTCTTGGCACCTCATCGATCAGATCACCACCGACAGCCGCTAATCACCACCGTCACAACGTCGCAAAATCTCTCTAGCTTTCTTTCTCAAAGAAAAACTAACACCATATTATATGCCATCTTCACCTTTTCTTTTGAACTCTCTCTTTCATATACATTATATATATATATATATATATATATTGACATGCATGCATATTTGTGGAGATTATTTTAATTAAATATCCAAAAATTAATTAATTTGTAAAATATTTAATAATTAATAATCTATTTTTGATGGGAAAGGAGGATCAAGCTTTGTGATGTTAAGCTTTTCCGCCGCACTCTTTTTTCTCATTATTGCTTTCTTTTTTGTTTTTTAATCGTTAATTCCCACCAAAAAGGAGAATTTTGTGGTACGGACATTCTAATCACGTATTTATGCTCTCCATCCCTTTTTCTCTTTTATACATGCTTCTAGAATTTATTATATATTTATTGGATAAAATATATTAAAATATAATAAAGTTTGTTTTAACTTTTATTTAATGTAATAACAATATTATTTTTTAAGTAAAATTGTACGAAAAAGTAAGGTATTTTAACTTGATTCTTATTTTGAATAACATACTTTCAAAACTTTCATTTTGATAAATAAGATGTAAAGCTTTAAACATTTAAGTACTCGAGTAACCAATTGCAGCATTAACTGGTTATTATACTGATGTGACGAGTGATATCATCATAAACATCTTAATACTGAATTGGATACCACATCACTTGTCACATCAACATGGTAACTGTTTAATGTTTCAACCGATTATTCGAGTACTTAAATGTTTAAAACCTTACATCTTAAGTATCAAAATTGAAGTTTTAAAAGTACGTTATCCAAAGTAAAAATCAAGTTAAATACTTTACTTTTTCATGTAATTTGTCCTTATTTTTTCTAAATTAATGTGACAAACTTTCGATTTTTCTAGTTTGGGATTTAGAATGAGTTGTAACTTACACAAACAGGTTATACAATACGAACCAGTTAGAAAATTATTTTTTGATGCTTACATGTACTGTCTTGTCATGTACATTCACTTTGTTTTTACTTCATTTTGTCCTCACCGTTCTCGCATCTTAACTCCGACCACTATCTTCAGCTCCGACTATTAATAAGAGAAAAATCGAGGAGAGAAACATGCATAAAATAATACCACTCTTAATGATTCAGAGTCTGTCTTTTAATGAAACTATCAAAAGATAAACAAACAATCCCTTATTTTTTTTTAACATAAATGAAGATCAAATAAATTAATACCAAGATAAGAATTAGTTTATTCTTTTCAATTTGAAATTCATTATTTTTTTTTGTCACTCTCTTTAACCGAGGTCTTTATTCCATCTATATACAGAACTAGAAATTTAGATATATATATATATATATATATATATATACATGAAACCAACATGTTTTTGTGAGATTTGTAAGACCATTTTTTTACACTTGAAACTTCACAGCAAAATGTTGTGAATGTTCAAAAACAAACTACCTTCACATAAACTCAACCATATATATATACATATATCTTTACTTGTGATGCACACGTGAAACTTCATAGTTCATATGAAGTTGTACGATGTGAAAGTTGAAACCGAATTAAAAATATATAATAATAGGAGCATTAAACTAAAAATATAAAATGTTTTTTAATATAATTTTTTTAATTCCAATTCCAATTCTGATTATATATTAAATATTTTATATTAAAAAAATAGGGATAATCCATTTGGGAGCCGTCTACCAAACACTTATCCGGGTAAGCGGTTACCAAGTCAAATTACTTCATTGGATGAATATGGTACGAACCAAGAATCTTACCCGGTAAGAGTGAGACAGGGACCAAGAGTCTTACCCGGTAAGTGAGAGCGACGACTCTTACCACAGTAAACGCCTACCGTGTAAATTGTTACATGCGATGTTGTTTTGGAGAACTAAAATCTTACCCGACAAGTAAATAGCAGTGTTAAATTTTACCGGTAAACACTTACCGAGTAAGTATTTGGTAAACGACCCTTAATTAAGAAAATAAATTTTTGTTAAATTAATTTGGAACGTTAAATTATCATTTCAATGTCAACCACTATTTGTTATCTTATCGTCACTGATCTAAGATCTTTCCTAATGAATAAATTGAATCGAGGGCCAATACATGTTTTCACGTTTTCAACACTTTTACAATTTTTTTTCCCAATATATGTATATCTTGTAAATTACTAAATCTAGCAATGCACAGAAAGCTCGAGTCTAGTAAACCTGTAGCTCAGGCTCATCTCGGGCCTAAAAGCCCGATTTATCGGCTTTTTTCTTAGGTCAAGGCTTCTAAAAGCCCAGTTCGAGCCAAGGACCCAAAAATCCACTTAGACTCTGATCAATGTTATCGTTGGAGGCATGAAAAGACCCGCTCCGACCCAATTTTGTCTTTTCCTTCTCGTAATCTTCGTATCTACTTTAAATTCTCACAACTTTCACAATAATTTTTATAATCTCGAAATTTTCGTATCGTTTTTGTTATTACATACCAGTATTCATATATGTAATCAGATAAATATCCGAAGTCTGGCCCAACACCTTGGCCCATGTCTAAGGGTAATGGATCAAAATGAAATTTGCACAATTCAAACAAAGTTATTGTATGATCATAGTGAAATAACATAAAACATATACATAAAATTGTATATAAATGTTAGTGATAGTGGCTTTAAATTTTATATTGTAGTTGTACGGGTTGTGTAATATACGGGTTGAGACGATGGTTTAGACACGTATTTATTTAAGATTAAGAGTAAGCTACGTGAATGCATATTCGATTGGTTTTTCAATAATATAAACAGGAGTACGAGACCACATCTAATCTAGACTCGATAAGTTAAAACGAGATTTTTTAAGGTTGATTTCATATCCACTCAGGCGAGGTTTGCCAAACGAAGAGAAATACTAAAACCATGTCTTAAGATGAGTAAGTCGTTTCGGAGTTGAGAACCAATTACTTTCATGACGATCGAAAAAGTGTTAGAAAAAAAGTGCACAAAATCACAGAACTCGTAAAATATGAAATAAATTTATGGAAATGTGTTGAAAACCCAAAATAGAGATATTTTCACATGTTTACACAAAGCAACTAGAACTCGCCTTGCTAGATTTATGCTAAATCTAGGTTTTGACATTGAGTTTCAAAAACATCCCGAGTTGAGAGGAAATGGCGGGAGAGAAAAGTTAGGGTTAGAAAATGAGAAACCCTAAGTCAAAATCAGCGTTAAAACTGATATGGACACGGGTACGGGTTTTCATGCGGCTAATCCCGCATGAAAAGTTGCCCTAATCCAAAATTCCTTGTAAACAGACTTTAATGCTGGTTTTCTTGCAGCTAAACTTGCATCATAACCTGCATTGATCATTGTTTGATTGTCAAATGCCTCTTTCTTAGGATTTAACATAAAATCCACCCCAACGGTGTAACTTGATTAAAAAAAATAGATTTTAGGTTAAAATAGTAAGCGAAATAAAAAGGCAACAAAAGTCCAATTTTTTTTTATGTTACACCTACAATATATTGATCTGTGTTTACAACGTTAAGCGTCAAATTTATTCTATTAGATTGATTCTTGAGACGACTCATGAGAAAGTGAAGTAGGATAAGAGACTGTTTGTTTATCTCTTAATATTTTCATTAATAGGCAACCTCTGAATGACTAAGAGGTGAATCTTGTTTGGCAAAAAACAATTTGTCTCTTAATGATTCTGAAACCTTCTCAATGATTTTGCATTTTGGGTCTCCCTAAACCATTCAAGATCCCTAATTTCATTTCGAATAATTACTAAATAACCATATTGCATCTTGCACTATCTCATAAGAGTCTCTTAATCATTTTGACCACTTAATCATACTAAATCAAACCATTCATCAATTGTCAAACAACCCCTTAAATGGTTCAAACCACTCTAGATATTTGTGCCAATTCTTCATACTCAAACTATTCATTTTCAATACTTGTGCTTGAATGTCATTTATGCTTTTTGAGTTGTTTTACATTTTCATTTTCGAATTGTATTCGTAAAATGAGGTAACAACATATTCACCCACTCTATGTTGTCCAGAACATCGACAACCCAGTAAGAATCAACGTCATCTAAAGTACAAAACAAAATCTACTTTTTTAAAATAGTAATAAATTTTAGATTCAAAATTAAACCAAGACATTTTCATGGCCGTATGTTAACGAAGCCTCAACCCTTTGATTATACGTACAGTAAAACCCTATTACTCAATATCAGGTATCTGCTAATGCTTTTATTATTCGAATACATCTATTGCTTTGGTCCTACTAAAAACACGAAACGTTTTCAATAGAATGATCCCGTTTCCCGGTTTTTGTATCATATGAGGCAAGTGTTGGTAGCATTTTCTACAACAAAATTGGGTTTATAAGACACCCCCAATCTCTAAGCGTCCCAATAAACCGTTTTATAAGACTTAATTTATAGGACAAAAATACAAAGCGTCATATCTAAAAGTGTTGTAATAAGTTTATATGCCGATTTTGGGCGTCTTAACAAGTTTTTAGAACATTTTTAATACAAAGTGTCATATTAACAACTTTATTGGACACTTTTGAGAAAGTGTCTTGTAAACTCAAATTTTCATAGAACATCTATTTTTATAGGACAATTTTTCAAATAGTATCCTATAAAGTTGCTAATGCAATCCTCCTCTATCTGTTGCGGGTCGAGGGAACTTGGGTGTGGGTCTTTTGTCGAAATGGAATCAGTCGGTTCGGACCTCCCCTTAGTACGATAAATAATAAATAATTTGACCTCCTGGATATTAAAGAAAGGAGGAGGTCAACACTTTATATTAAAAATATCCTAAAAAACTTGTTACGACATCAAAAAACGTCATATAAGCTTATTAAAACCCCTTTAGATATGACGCTTTATTTTTTGGTCATATAAACTAAGTCTTATAAAGAGGTCTATTAGAATGC